TCCCGGTGCCTGGCTCGACCCACGACATGTGCGAAATGAGACGGCATATTTTCGAAGTCTCGCGTCCTCCCAGCCTTCCTGATTGGCAAAGGGAGCATGAGTCGCCTATCGCCTTGTTGTTTGCGGCACGCAGAAGCGAGCTCGGGAATGGATCCGCAGTCGCTGGCACTTGGCGCCTACCAATATGTCTCACGTTGCGCTTCCCGTTCCTGGGGAGAATCCTGCGGAGGGAGGCTCCATCCCCTTGAGGCGCGCTTGAGTCGGCCAATGGAAGGGAGTTTCACTGCACCAGGATCGGGGTCTCAGGTTCGCGATGTGTGTTTTCATCCAGACGTGGAGGAATGCCATGGCCGGGGGGCGCACTGAGGCTAAGTTGGTCGGCCGTCGCTTTCCCACCCACACCATCTTCGCATGTTAGTCAAGGTTCGAGACCAGTAGCGTCGGGTCTCTATCGGCCTGTGTTGGGGCATGACACATCGACCATCAGATCTCTTCGTGCCCTTCCCCGGTGATTCAACAGCCTTAGCCCTGGTCTAGGAGCATCCGCATTCATCCACTTCCCCTGGGCAGGTCTCACGATCCAAGGCGGCCATGCCTCGGGCGTGTCTGAGGCTTGACACTCGTGGGAGCCGAGATGAAAATTGATTCCTCAAGGTGCCTGAACCTGCGTGTGTGCCTGACTATTGGACGCCGACCTTCCGCCCTCATCGCGATCTGTCTTTCACTGCAAAATTGCTTCCGGCGCCTCTCGTGATGCATGACGTAGCGATGATGGGAGTCCTCGGCGTCGTCGGCACCTCCACGTCCTTGGCCCGCAGAGGCTCTCAGCGTATGCCATCCGAACGCAGATGCCACTATCGCGACGTCCGGACACAGCTAGGAGGAGCAGTATCACGGGACAGGTGGTGACCGCTCGTGACGTGATGTGCCTGGCCGTCTTTCTGAAAACGACGGCGACGACCGGCAGCAGCATGGACGGCACGAGTGCAGGCACGTGGGCGACGATGGGCTGCTGGACCGGTGTTGGTGTTGTATCAGCCTCCGAACGTGGAATCCAAGTCATGTGACTGGCCTCGGGGATGGCAACAAGGCATTGTCCTGTGCTCTGCTCAAGCGCGACCTGTTGCCATCGAGGCGAATGTTGCGTGCTGCGATTTGAAGAGCGTTTCGTGTCAGCACGAGCAGTCCCTGCGAGTAATTGAGTCAACTTGCAGACTTGACTCTGCACTGCTCCATGGTTGATGTTGCACCGTGACATCAATCTGTGGAAGATGAGTCTGTGTCGGTAAATTCCCTGGCACGAGTACCGTGCGGGAAGGTCCGCGCCTTCTGCTGTTGTGTTGTTGCATCATGTAATTAGGGACTTAAGCTTTCGGTCATTGGCGTGGTTTATGCCGTCGGTATGGCGTTGGCATGCTGAGTAGAACGATTTAGTTGTTGAAGTGAATGATCAAGAGACCTTTTGTTGGCTCAGTACGTGGTCGTATCACCAATATACGAGTGATGGCGTTCGTTCGAGTTGTTTCGTACCAATAAAGTACCTACCTTAGGTACCTAGGTAGCCGGGCACCAATGTAACGACGACAGGTACCCAGGTAAGGTAGTTGATCCACACGATATGTTCTTCGTGAAGTAACTCATCTCAGGGTTATGTTTGTGCTTTTCGTCTGTCGCACCTGTAAGAAGTGACGTCGATGCCTGAGCTGTGACAGATGTGTGTGTAGCTTGACTGGATTTCCGATCCATGATGCATCTCTGTCGGTCACTTGTGACCCAACCCGGGCCTTGAGAAAATCATTGATATCTAGGTACTTCCGAGAATTCTATATCATTCTGCATTTTCTTTTAATTGCTCAGTTCTGTTTTCCCTTTTCTGTGTCGGAGGTCTGTATTTATTCGTTCACGAACCTGTATTTATCACAATAACAATATGCATACTTTGTAACACGATTCAACCATTATCGAGCACCTGTATATCAGGCGGGCGATAACAGCGCTCAAAATACAATAAAATAATTATTGAGTGTCTGATAGAATTTTACAATATGGTTATCTGTCACCAATTGGCTGTTGTCGCACTGGACGTAGCTGAAGCCTTCTCATCATGTATTTGGTTTACACAGAGATCTTGCACGAACAACACCATCAACGCGTATCGGCTAGGCGTAAGACCAGCAATAGGCCTACTGAGAGCTCAAAAAAAAAACGGCAATCAATACAAACATAAAGCACATTCAATTTGAGCCCTAGAGACGCGTAAAAGGCTTTCAAGCAGACCGATGCTAACATCGCCGTCTTCACGCCGTTCGAGGGGCATCACAGACCCTGGCCGAGGACTCCGCAATCGACCCAGAGCAGCACACCGCCTTTGGCCCGCCCCACTAAAAAAATCGAGATGGCAATTGTGCCGGACGACTGCAGAATACCACCGAACCCAGCAAATCTTTTTCCCATCTGGCCCTCTCATCACCAATCCAACACCGAAACCATACACCCTAACATGGCCGGAACCACAGGAAGGAAGCGGGCGCGCGAGGGAAAGGTCAAGCCCCCGCAACCGACCAAGAAGCAGAAGAGGCAGAACCTGCGCCACTACGACCGGGTTGCCAACGACAGCGAGGAGGAGGAGGGCGCGGGCGCGGGCGACTTCAAGGCCGTCAACCTGCTCGACTCGGATTCGGACGACATCCACAATGCCGCGGCCGACGACGGCGCCGAGACGGCGGGGTCCATCAGCTCCGGCGACGAGGCGCCGAGGGCGCCCCCGAAGAAAGTGAGGAAGGCCGCCAAGGCAGCGAAACCAACGAAGCGCTCGGCGGCGGCGGCCGAGGCGCAAAAGCAGACGTCGGGCTCAGAAGCAGATGACAATGAAGACGACGACGGCCAGAGCGCGTCGGGCTCTGAAGATGACGACGACGATGACGATGACACGGAGGACTCCGTCTCCGACACCGAGGGCAACCTCAACGCGCCGCGCCGCGATACCAAGTCGAGACGTAACGACCCGACGGCCTTCTCGACGTCCATTTCAAAGATCCTGAGCACCAAGCTGCCGAGCTCGCGCCGTGCCGACCCCGTGCTCGCACGCAGCGCATCGGCGCACGAGAACGCCAAGCAGGCGGCCGACGCGGCGCTCGAGCACAAGGCGCGGAGGCTGGTGCGGCTGCAGAAGCGCGAGGCGATGGAGAAGGGCCGCGTCAAGGACGTGCTGATCGCGACCGATGCGGACAAGGCCGGCGACGCGGCGGCCGACGCGGCTTCGTCGACGGGGAGCGTGCTCGAGTTTGAGAGGCGCCAGAGGAAGGTGGCGCAGCGGGGTGTGGTCAAGCTGTTCAACGCCGTGCGGGCGGCGCAGGTCAAGGCGTCCGAGGCCGACAGGGCCGCGAAGAAGGACGGCGTTGTGGCGCACAGCCAAAAGGTGGCCAGGGTGACGGAACTCAGCCAAAAGGGCTTCCTGGACCACCTCGTCGCGGCGGGGAGCGGCATGAAGAAGGCGGCGCACATTGAGGAGGCGTGATTGCGTGGATTGGAGCGTGGAAGACGCTGGCTGGTCCGCCTGGCGTTTTTTTTTTCTTGTAGATTTCTGAGAGTGATGTGTTCCTCTATCCAATTCCCTAGATACCCTCGAATCACGAAAAGGTGCTGCTGCTGATGTGACACATGTTCCCACCCCGCCCTCCATTTTCACATCATCAGCCTTGTTTTCCACCCTCTCCTGAACTTTGTTGTACAGCATAATTACATTTGCGTTCTGTTGTGTTGTGCTCGGCCTTAGCTAAAGTCGCTGGCTTGTAGGTTCCGCGTCATCGTCGGCAGCTTGACCGTCAGTCCATCCAACGCCTTGGTCATCTTGACCTGGCATCCCAGCCTACTCGTCTCAGTCAGACCAAAGGCGAGGTCCAGCATGTCGTTCTCGTCATCGTCGGGCTCCTCCATCGCATCGTAATGGGCTTCGTCGACGACGATGACGTGGCAGGTCGAGCATGCACATGATCCGCCGCAAGCGCCTTGTAACTATTAGCTCATACGTATTCGGCCGAGTGGAATTGGCGAAAATCATGCTCACCCTCCATCTCGAGATCGTTGTCCTGCGCGATATCCAACAGGTTGTCCCCCTCACACACGGCAATTTTGTGTTCATCGCCATCCTTGTCGACGAACGTGACCCAGAGCCTAGACAACGTTAGGACCGGAATGGAGGGCGACGGCAAGGGATAGTCTTACTCCTCGCCGGGCTTGGGGGGGTCGAGATGACCGTGTGACGTCGCAGCCGTCGCAGAGAAGGCGCGCGCCTGCGGCCATTGTATCCTCCTGTTGGCCAGCTTGGCTGGGAGACGCGTGGAAACGGCGAGAGGCGACTGCGTCTGGTAGGATCGTGTGGTCATCTGGACGGACCGGGCTTGACGTGAAGCATTGGCAGCCAGACGCCGGATGGCGCCGGTGACGGGGGCGTACGTGTTCATGGTGTGGGGGAATCGTGAAGATTAGGGTGGATGACTGGTCGGGTGGTCGGCCCGCGTGCGGTGATGACGCGCACGGTTTCTATCAAGGTCGAAAATAGGGAGCCTCGATAGCAGGTATCGCGTGCTTGGGATTGTCGGTCGGAAGTGTTCCAAAAGTAGGCTGGGCCGCAGTGGCAGAGGAAACTGAACCGCCCTGTCTGCCAGGTCAAGATCATATGCGAAGTCGCTCCATGGGGCACTGGTTCGGCGCCTGCGAAATTTGTCTGACGGCAGCTCCGATAAGCAACATCGGTTATCGAGAGGGAGAGCTTAACAAACGGTGCCTCTCGATTGGACGAGCGCCCCCGAAAAAAGACCCACGAAGAAGTGACCTTGGCGCTGCTTACCAAATCCTCGCTTTATCTCCGAGCTGCTACTGGTGCTGCGCTGCTCCTGCCACTGCTGCGCTGCTGCAGCTGCCGTCATGCAAATTTGGCGCCTGTGACGCCAGTGACCCCCCAGCCCGACACAGACACAGACACAGACACAAGCAAAGCCAGCATCAGCAACACCACATCCACCATCACCCCTCTGTCCGTTGAACGATGCTGCACAACCTGCATCGCTCGCACAATGGCTTCACATCGAGAAGGGGTTAACCCCTTGCGCCCTTATTACAAACCACCGACAATAGGCGAGGTCCATGATCCGACACCTGCACCTGCGAATCCCTTCTCCAGCAATGCGCCATCGGGCGATCGTTACGCGTCCAAGGCGCGTGACATGTTCAACGACATGGACTACAAGGACTACATTGGCGACCCGTCACCCTCTGCTGTCCAGACGGTCAAGGAGATTATCGATGAGCTGTTATGGAAATACACGTCGGTTCTGATGGCCCAACCTTTCGAGGTTGCCAAAACCGTACTCCAGGTCAGGAGCAACGACGACATTGTTCTCAACGGTGCCACCCCGGTTTCGACGCCCCTTGCCACCAGGAGGATATCCAACTATGGAGACGAGGTGTTGTTGCAAGACGACCACGCATCCGACTCGGATCCCGACGAGCCCGCCTACTTCACGTCGAATGTACAGGAAACGCCCACGCCTGCCCAGCGAGGTCGACGGAACCGTCAGGACTCTCCGTCGCTCCAGTCGCCACGGCCGTCATTTAAGGGCTCCGCGGCAGCCACACAGCTCAACATTCGTCTGCCCGATTCTGTGACCGAGGTCATTGGCCAGCTGTGGCAGAAGGAGGGTGCTTGGGGCGTGTGGAAAGGATCCAATGCTACCTTTCTCTACACGGTTCTTTCCTCGCTGTTGGAAAACTGGTCTAGGAGTGCCCTGAGCGCGCTGTTCAATGTTCCCGACCTCGGCGTCAAGGACGACATCGAACGGATGATCGACATTGCATCGCCTTATCCCTGGGCCTCGCTCGGTGTGGCGGCGGCGGCGGCTGTGGCGACGGGCTTGATGCTCGCGCCGCTGGATTTGGTTCGCACGAGGTAAGCGCTGCGTCGCTTATCACTTTGATATTCTGGTCTAACACGATTTTAGGCTTCTCTTGACCCCGATATCGAGAGGTTCAAGGCGGACCCTGTCCACTCTGCGCGCTCTCCCGTCCTACCTCTGCGCTCCTGTGCTTGTGCTCCCTACCATCTTCCACTCCCTCATCCATCCTCTTCTGACGCTGTCGACCCCTCTCGTTCTTCGCACTCGCTTCATGATCGACAGTCAGGTCTCTCCGACGACATTTTCCGTCGCCAAATTTTGTGCGTCCTCGGCGGCGCTGTTCGCCAAGCTCCCTCTGGAGACTGTCCTCCGCCGTGGCCAGGTGGCCATCCTGTCGAGCGCGCCGTACATGCGGGCGCTGGAACCCCGGGTGGTCAAGCTTGAGACAGTTGTGCCGGCGGGCCGGTATGCTGGTGTGACGGGAACGATGCTGCACATTATGCATGAGGAAGGCTCCCGCGCTGTGGCCAACAAGCCGACAACCGCCAGAACCGGCAAGGCGAAGAACAAGGCCAAAGTCGCAGAGACGGTCTACCGCAGGGGCCAGGGCGCCGAGGGTCTCTGGCGCGGATGGAAAGTCAGCTGGTGGGGGCTCGTCGGGCTCTGGGCGGCCGGTGTCATCGGCAACAGCGCCGAAGGTGAATTCTGAGCAGACAGAAATGGCGAATCCGAGGTGCGTGCGTGAGCCAGGCCTGGGCCGGCTTGTGCTGTCTATCGACGCGGCCTGTGCTGTGCTAGATGGTGCGAACTGTACAAGAGTTGGACTTTTTGGGCGTTGCGGGATCCTGGCAACTGGTCGCTGCGGACAACTCCCCTTTCTATTTTTTTTTCTGGTTCTTCTTGATGAGACATGTCATGATATCCCCCTCACATGCGGGTGTACAAAAAATGTTGCCATTCTTCATAATACAACCCTCTTCTATTTCTCTCCAGCCCGGGCGTGGGATCTTGTGGCCGACCTGCTATGGGTGTTCATTTGCTGCAACCAACGCGCACAGCAAGCGACAACAATACGCTGGTGTTTTCCTGTCAACTCAACTCTCAACTCACATACAACCTCCCTGAAGACGCTCATCAAAGGGACCAATGTCTTGCGATCTGCTGAAACACACAAGGCCTCAAATGAGCCCAGACTCGTCGTAGGTCGCCAGAGGGCTCGCTCCCGTTTCTCTTGGCAGTGTCCCAATTTCTCCAAGCGGTTTTGCCAAGATCTCTTCTCGCCTGCCTGTCGCGCCTCCACTCTCTTGGCTCAATCTTGGCTCACCTCTGCATTTCGTATTTTCCTTTCGAACGGGGTACACAGACACGCGCGTCACGTCACGTCTTGGGGTTCTTTGAGGGGGGGAGTATTTGGTATTTCAACCCCCCGACGACCCCACCGAAGGTCGTCGCTCCCACCCTGAGTCCCTCCCTCTCCCTTTTCTCCCGCTTTTGTCTCCGTGCGCGTCGGAGCACACCGAGAAGGCCGCCACCACCGCCAGAATCCTCCGCCGCGTCCCGGTCGTGTTGAATCACTTTCGGCAATTGAGCGCCTGCCAGGGTGGGCTGCACCCGGATCTTTTCTTTCAGTCGACTGCACCCCCCTTCAAGTCGGTCAGGATATGGCGCCCTCGACTTTGAAAAGGGTCTTTGCTTTCCTCGCCCTTGCCACGATCGGCAGCACCATCACCGTCTCGGACTCCACAAATGGCCATTCCGGAATTGACGCCCTGGCCACGGCGCCGTTCCCGAGTGCCGCGGCGCGCAGACACAGGACGGCCCGCCGACGAATCGAACCATGGAATGGGCCATCGGAGCCCATGTCGGGATTGGTGGCGCTCGGCTGTGTGCAGGTTCCCGCTCTCGGCAGGGCTGAGATGTCCGATTCTCACATGACGCCGCAGGTCTGTCGGGAACGCTGCGCCGCAGCGGCAGAGGGTGCTGCGTTTGGAATCGCGGCCGCGACGGAGTGTTACTGTACCGTCGACGTCGCCCTCCCCGCGGCCGTGACGGATGTGGAACCGTCGTGCGCGCTGCCAGGCTGTCCCGACGACAGGCGCCTGTCCTGTGGGGGCGAGGCGGGGATGATGATGGTCTATGCGGTGACGGACGCTGAGGCTCCGGGCTCGGGACGCACAGAGGGACTTTTGTTATCCGAGGCCCGGGGGCGCCACGAGAGCGAGAACGAGGGGGAACGCGTGGAGCTGAGGGCAGCGTCGCCTGAAGGGTTCCCCGACGATGGTGAAGAGGATGGTGATGAAGACGACGACGACCACGAGCCGTCGTCGGCGCCTGGCGGTGTTCACCTTGGCACGACGGCGACGATAGGGATCGCCGTGGGCGCAGTTGCGCTGTCGGGCGTCATCACAGGTATCGTCATGCTGCTGTTCTGCCGGCGCCGGCGAGGTCGCCAGGAGAGAAGTCGGGGGACTGGCATGTCCCGCGGGCGGGGGATCTACGAGCGTGCAGGGCCTATGCCGTCTATGCCAGCGCCGCTTTCGACCGATCGAGGGCCTAGGAAGCATCACGACGCCATGGCCATGACTGTTTCATATACGATACCGGAATCACAGGATCGGGGACCGGATCGAGACACGTTTGAGATGTCAGAACGGCGGAGGTAGTCGCCCGCTATGGAACCTGAAATGAGGACATGATTCAATGACAAGAAATGAGTGACAAGTCTTGTGACACGCTAAAGGTCCAGCGCCAAGGTTGCTTTCTGGCCTTCTATTCCAAGGTCGGAGTATCAATGTCGACTGCTTCTGGACCCAGGGCTGCGTGCTTTTGAGATGGATTGAGCAGATAACGAGAAGGAAAGCTGCCACACCAACCTTCCTGAGCAGATTTCCCATAACATGATAAGAGGCAACGAAAGTCGTAGTTGAACCTTGAACTTGACATCAGCAGGAAACAACCCCGGCGTCGATTCAGAGGTTGCTGGGTGGTCATACAGCGGGCGCCGAGTCACTTCGAATCATGTCACCAGCCCCAAACGTGTCCGTTGCTACAATCTTTCTTCCGTTTCTGAGATTTAGTGTCGTACGACATGGAAGCGACAAAGGCATTGACCTAGCCTCACTCGCGTTTCCCTAGCGCTCACCATGACAAGCACACCATCACCTTCGCCGACCTCGGATGCCATGCGACATGATTGCGACACCCCTTCGGACAACGGCCTGAGTAATGTGGCAACTCGACGCTCTAGGCCACGGCCCGACGAGCCCTGTAGCTTCTTGGCTACCTTGGCGACAAAGGTGGCCGGCGGTGAACCCCATTCGCTGTGCATTTTAGTCCAGCGTCTCTCGCCCAAGGCCTCAACTACAGCAATCCTTACGAATAGCTTCGTACTTTCACTTTGTCGGCATATGGACTGGCCCTGCATCCTGAGTGAATACCCGCGCGGCATCCTAAGCGTTCTGCTAGGCTCCCCAGAGCCATCCAGACGTTGTTGGTCTGCATTCCGAGGCCTCCACGCGAAGCTCTTCGCTACCAAGCTTGCCTCCCCCAATGGCCATGCCAACGGCTGCCGTTGACATGACTTGGTGGAGGCCTCGCAATATCGGCAAAGGGGGCCACGTGAACGCTCATGGAATCCTCGGGAAGCAACTGATTGACGTGTCGCAGAAAGACGGTGCCCAGCAGAAGGTCGACTTAGCCCAGACGCTTGCGATCTGCCCCAGCAGCGTCTGGCAGCAACCCCCCTCTGCCGTACTTGACAGTGGTAGCGCTTCGGTGAGTGCCGAAGCATCAAGCGTTTGCCACACTCAGCGGTGACCTGGCACGCCATGTTCCATCTTCCCCCACATTGCATATAGATCATATCGACGACAGGGGTCATTCGTGGGGTTGGGATTCGGGTTTGGGCCAGAAACCCCGCTAGGACACGGAAGCACGATTGATATTCTCCTTTCGGATAGGCGCCCACGTCGCACTGCGTTCCCTCGCGAACGTTTTCTTTCCTATCCTGGTCCTTGCCGAGTGTTGCTGTGCAGCCTGTCCTGCCAATGACACGGGCGCGCCTAGGCTTATTCACCATGACTTTGCAGTGCCACCAAGAGCCGCTCGGCTTGAGGACCGCCGCCATTTCCTACTTGGTCCTGTCTTATTTCAACGGCGACGCATGTCACTTTTACTGAAACCTCACGCCGCTGGAGACTGACTCGGCTTTCTGATGTTCAGTAGAAAGTCAATGAGTTCAACAATGGTGGCCGTTCGACTTCAAGGCTGGAAGTCGGGCTAGCAATATGGGTGAATGACAGAGTGTCTCGAAAGAGAAGCTGTCAAGTCGGTCGAGCGAACCAGAACGATATGTGCATGTCTTGTCGAAGGCGTCCCATGTTTTCCCTTTTTAGCCGGAAGGCGAGTGTAACTCCGCTACCGACGACGGTTCTGCAGTTTTGCGTGGTCACCGGGCTGGTTGATATTGCAGGGCGCCATGCCAAGGCAGCGGAACCGGTTTCACTTATTGTCCTCTGCATGGGTATCAGTCAACGTCGCCCGGACGCAGTTCGTTCCCCGCGATCATGATCCAATCAGGGGCTCTCGCAGTCCCCAGAGGCCACTTGCCACCCTGGTGACTGGTGTGCCGCCGTGAGATGCTGTGCCCTTGACCTCATCTATCGTGCCTTGGTGTGCTGTGAGCCGACAGGCATGGTGGCAACGCGATGAGACGGTCATGGCAGTATAGGGGGCCGCAGAAGGGGGTATCATGGCCAGAATGGTGGTGATTTTCTCGTGAGACCTACTTTGACGAGCATATAAAGGTGTTCATCTTTTCCCCCTTTGTGTTTCTAGAGATCGACACGATCAACACAGTTTCCATCACAGACTCCCTGTCCTCGTCGATCCCTCCTGCACGGCATCTGCCAACGAACCCGTCAAGATCTATTATATCAATACCACCCCTTAAGCACATCATGGGCCTCAGCAAGATCGGCGCGCTCGTCGCTGCCCTGGCCGCTGCCAGCCAGGTCGCGGCTCACGGCTTCGTCAGCGATGTGATCATCAACGGCGTCAAGTACAAGAACTACGACCCTACCAGTGACTGGTACCAGGCCCCGGCCAACCGTCCCATCCGGTAAGAATGATACCAGCAGGTAGCCCTACTCGGACATCTCCACGGACTAACAGCTTCAGTGCCGGCTGGACCGCCGAGCAGGAGGATCTCGGCTTCGTTGCCCCCAACGCCTACGGCACACCCGATATCATCTGCCACCGACAAGCCACCCCCGGCAAGGGCCACATCCGCGTCGCTGCTGGCGATGTCGTCACCCTCCAGTGGAACACCTGGCCCGAGTCCCACAAGGGTCCTGTCTTCGACCACCTCGCCAACTGCAACGGCCCCTGCGAGTCGGTCAACAAGAACGACCTCCGGTTCTTCAAGATTGACGGTGCTGGTCTCACGACCGCCCCCTCGACCTACGCTGGTGATGTTCTCATCCAGAACAAGAACCAGTGGTCCGTCCGTATCCCAGCCAACATTGCGGCCGGCAACTATGTTCTCCGTCACGAGATTCTCGCCCTCCACTCCGCCGCCCAGGCCAACGGCGCCCAGTCCTACCCCCAGTGCATCAACCTCGAGATCACCGGCTCCGGCACCTCCAAGCCCGCCGGCACCGCCGGTACCTCCCTCCTCTCCTCCACCGAGGCCGGCGTCAACTGGAACGTCTGGGTCCCCGCCACCTCCTACCCCGTCCCCGGCGGCCCCATCGTCGAGGGTGGCGTCAGCCAGATCCCTCAGTCCGCCGTCACCGCCACGGCCACCGGCACCGTCACCCCCGCCGGCCAGACCGGCCCCGCCCCCACCGTCGCGCCCCCTACCGTCCCTCCTCCCGTCACCACCACCGCTGCCGCGCCGACCACCCTCCGCACCACCACCGTCGCCGCCCCTCCTCCCCAGACGACGCAGCCCTCCAACGGCGCCACCGCACCCGTGTGGGGCCAGTGCGGCGGCCAGGGCTGGACCGGACCTACTGCTTGCGCGGCGGGCAACCGCTGCAACGTCCAGAACGCATACTACTCGCAGTGCGTGCCCAACTAAGAGTGTGGCCTGGCGGCAGGAGAAGTGGCATATCGTGAGCGTCGCGGATGATGATTCCTCGTCTTGATTGGTTGCATCCGGTGGGTGATGAGTGGCATAGAGCCTGGGCCTCAGAGTCTGGCTCGCACAAATGTACATAGCCATAGAGAGTCACGGTAGATAAACCAGTTTTCCTCGCCAGCAGTGTTGAAGTGGTGTGTGTTCATTTGGCTCGGATGACGATGCAGAGTCCAGGTGTCAATTCGTAGCTCGAGCCATTGGGAAAACCACAGGCAAAGTCTTACACCGTCTCCTGAGGGCCGCGTGAGCTGGATATCGCGAGGCGCTGGCCAGAAAAGTGCCATTCTTCATGGCACAGTGTTCTTCATTGCAGCGTGAGGCTTACTCATTGCGTCGATGAGGGCTATTGTGGGAGATCTTAGTCTTGGACGCCAAATCAGCAACAAGGCGAGCGACATGTGCAATAGGAATGTAAAATGACCAGAAACATAAATCATTCGCAAGTCGAGATGGGTAAATCCCACCTCGATGCTCAGCGTACCAGTATGCCGATGAATAGGCAGCTGGCAAGAGGGCAGCGATCAGATACCACATGGCCCAGAGGCGATGATACCTGAAAAAATGCTCGGTCTTGGACCCCATCGCTGAAAGATCAAGCGGTCAGAAGCATGTGAGGGTTAGATGATCGAAATCTAAATCGTTTAGGGGAAGACGTGGGGTGCAAAAACGCAAAAAGAAGTGGACACGCCGGGAATTGAACCCGGGACCTTCAGCAGTTTAGTATTGATCAGATCAATGCTAAGCAGATGTCATACCCCTAGACCACACGCCCGATTTGATTGAAAGCTGAAAGCATGCCCAAGCTCATGACCCACTACCGTGCAGGAAAATTTTGCTTGATGCCTTAGCCCCACAAGGACCCCAGGAACCGCTGAAAGTACACACGATCACTGTTTCAACCCCCGAGATCATGGATGCATTGAGCAGGCCCATCCATTACTTGCTGGTCCACTGCCTTGCCTTTCGCAGACTCACGATCACGAAGGACGTGCAAACCAATGTAGATTGTGCTATACGAACAATTGGACCCAAAGAACCCTGTCTGCTTGTACAAGGCTACCGCCAGCCTCTGACGAGAATGGCAGCTAACGGTCTCGTTGGTCTCAGCAAAATCAGGAATAGTTACACCGTCGCGACAGCGAAACCGAAGCCTTCACGTCAGAGCAGCTGGGCCTGAGAGTGATTCAGGATCGTACGGGGGCCTCACACTGTCTGGTTCCGGATCAGCATGTCCAGTGAGACCTGTCATTATGCTGTGTGAGCTGGCAGTGCCCCCTCATCGGTCTCGGTTTCGGTCTCCCCGGTGGAGACTCTGGTACTGCATTTATGGGCACTGCTACGGCCCCGCCTCAGGCCGGCTCAGGATGCTCAGCCATCCGCTGCCATGTTGTCTCGTGGCACAGCCCGCTCCTTTGCAGTTTTGGCATTGCACGCGACGGTCCATGATAAACTCTTGCGAAGGAGCATCTGCTTGGGAAGAGAAGTCCATGCGCTCTTGGAAAGCGAGCCAGCCCCGTGGTGGGTGGTGCTTATTAGCTCCACGGCTACAAGGTCTGGCGCGAAGGGAGGAGTCTAGTGCCCTGCCTCCACGATCGAAGCAAGGTACACGACCAAGGAGAAGTCGATTTCGACAATTCCATTCTTCCCAAGGCGTACTATGTACCATGTAATCCCCAAAATGCGTGGCAGGGATGGCGTGCCCTCCTCTCCACCACTTGGCTCCCAAGTTTGCCAATAACCTCCCATAGTGCTGCAAGGTCTTGTAGGCTGCACGGACAGTCCCAGGGGGGGTTAGCTGCAGGGGAAGGCCCGAGAATGGAGCACCTTTATCAAGATGAGAGCGAGGCTGGAACCACCCGCGCGCCTGTGTGTTGCATAATGGCGAACGTGCACCGTGAAACCAACCACCACAGGCACTTGGGCAGTGCCATGATAGCACGCGAGAAACCCGAATCGCGCGAGGCAGACTCTCGCAAACCGGCCCCCTGAAGCTCCTCATCCCATTCTTCTGGCGAGAGACGGAGTATTGGTTTTTTTGGGGCAACATGTCGACATAAGTAGATATGACCGCAGTTGCGTGGAAATCGAATTAGGAAATCTTGACCTTATCACTGTTCTCTCATCCACACTCTCTTCCCATCTGAAGAAGACTCGAAGAATTGTCTAGTCTTTTTCGTGCCTACAGTCGTTCCTTCTATTCTCGACTATTCAACCCGCTCTTCACGGTTGTAACGACTCTTGCTATCTGTCGCCAAAGACTGTCAACTCTCTCTGTCCACTTCACCCCTTAACTTCGACAAGATGGGCTTCTTCGACCCCAAGCACAAGGGCAAGCTCCACCTTGTGCAAGTTCTCCTCGTTGTCAGCGTTCTTGGAATGGGTGGCGCTCGTCTCTTGATGTCGAATGGGCCTACGTCAAGAGCAGACACAATGGCCCTAGGAATGGTACGATCAAGCACGACTTATAAGTCCTCGAACAGAACAACTCGCTAACTACGCATCACTCTGACAGGGTGCCAAGTCGCTCATCATCATTGGCTACCAAGTATTTTCAGAGCCTGGTCGCTGGCTCAGGCGGTTCGAGAGCTTGAAAGCCAATTTCATCTTGAACATTGTCGAAGTAGCCGCTTGGGGTGCGGTCGTATACATGGTCATCTCGAGCACCTTGAAGCAGTGCGACGGCTTCAAAGGGACGAGTTGTATGCTCGCCTGGGGCGTGATCGCGCTTGCGGGCAACATCTGGTACGTTTCCTCGAAACAAACACATTCCCAAGTTGTTGCAGAGACAAGTTGCTGATGTTAGAGCTTTGACAGTGCCGTATCTGCTGTTGCGGTCTTCATGTCGTACAAGGAGCTGCGCATGCGGCGCGAAACCGGGCCCGGAAAGGGTGACTTTGAAAGTCTCCCAGGGGATAGCGATGTGCACGCACTTCGCCCGGTATCCCAACCCGCAGCCCAACAACAGGGCGTAGATCCATCCGGCGTTTATCAATCAGGGCACTACCAACAGGGAGTCTACCAACAAGGAGCTTACCAACAAGGGGCCTATCAACCAGGAGGTTACCAACGGGGAGCTCGTCAATAGGTATCGGCGGCACGAGGAGACACCTCCGAGCGCCAACCAATCACCAGTGATGGCGCTGTCGATAGGCCGAAAGAGAGCAAGATGCAGGACGGGCCGGTAAAAAATGAGGCGTCTAGGGAATCATTGGTGGGAGTCGAACGAGATGCGCGGGAAAACCGAAAGCGAGAGAGCCATCGAGGAATGACAGACGGCGAGTCAGAGCCAGAACATGTCACAGCATCCATATTTTCTTTGTATTACTCCAGATAGCAACGTACGTAGCGTTTGTTCAGATGACTTGCAATTTCATGATACCATCTACCTTGCGCACCTCATCGACTTTCGACCTTTCAATTCTTTGGCGTGGTTATGACTTGGCATTGCCATCCCGGTCTCTGCTGCTTTTTGCCGTTTCTGCCTTTCCAAACAACGCCACGAAGTGGGTAACTTTAGGGTCTTGGCCACACGTAGGGCTGCCGTTGTAGGGCGGCCAGGAGAAATGCCCATACCACGGGCCAAGGGGTGGGTTGGTTCGCCCGCAAGTCTGCCCAGCCTGTTCGTGATACCTAGTTCACGAGCTGGCGTGGAGAGGAGAAGGGGCTACGCCGCCAGCAACGTGGACTGACATTCTCACTCATCCCAGCATATTGGCTGACGCCCGATAGAATGCGAAAACGAGCAGAAAGAAGCTTAATGGCGAGCAAGGGTGCACTAATCTCCAGGATGAATGGAGAAGCCCACACGCTAAGAAGCTTTGACTGGCAACCCCGAGGTGCCGATTGCCGGAATTGTCGAGGATTCTACCAATTATCCAGTACTTCGGGTTCAGCCGAGAATGGGCGGATGCTTTGCCGAGAATCACGAGTTTGCCTCGCGAACTCAACAAACATGGCTGAGACCGCTTGAATCGTATTGAAATTGATGAAGCGTTACGTCGTCCACGTGCCGAAAAGCCGTCATGGTGCTTCGTAGTGCTTCGCCTCCTTGAACGTTTGAGGAGCTTTCATACAAAGGGCTCCTCTTGCCATGCCTTCATAGCATGCAACGCTGCCAAGCACACAACACATCATTCCACGGTTTGGGATCTCTTGATAAACTTCTTCAACCCAGATTCCCTTTACACAATTCGAGAAGTACGGTAGTACGACCTACTGCTAACCTTGTGCCTCCATCTTCCGAACCTTGAGCCACGATCCACCAGAGTGACCAGACAACACCCAACACAATGGCAATACTCGAGACATACAATGGCTACAAGCTGTGGCACTACATCCCCTCGCTTCCGGCAGCCATCGTCTTCGCTGCTCTCTTCGGTGTCCTGACGGTTGGTCATGCTTTAAGAATGTTCCGTCACCGAATGTGGTTCTGCCTTCCGTTCGTGGTTGGAGGTGTCTGTAAGTACAACCCTATGCTCATACACACGTCAAAGCTAAAACATGTTCTCTCAAAGTCGAAATTGTTGGCTACGTCGGACGAGCTGCAGCGCACAACTCAACCGGTACCCTGATGCCCTATGTGCTTCAGTCGACCTTCCTCCTGCTGGCGCCCATTCTCTTCGCCGCTTCCCTCTACATGACACTGAGCCGTATCATCCGCGCTGTCGACGCAGCTCACTGCTCCATCATCCGACCCAACTGGCTTACCCGCATCTTCGTCTTTGGTGATGCCTTCAGCTTCTTCGTTCAGGCCAGCGGTGCAGGCCTTCGCGTCCAGGCCGGCCAGAAGGACAGCAAGATCGACCGCAACCTTGGCGGCCACGTCATTGTCGGCGGTCTCATCTTCCAGATCCTCATCTTCGGCGTCTTCGTGGTCACGGCCCTCAAGTTCCACAGCAAGTTCAAGAGGGACGCCAACGTCTCCCTGGCCCGCGACATCCCCTGGCAAAAGAGCCTCCTCATGCTGTATCTCACCTCCGCCCTCATCATGGGCCGTAATGTCTTCCGTGTGGCAGAGTATGCCATGGGCAGCGACGGATATCTCCTGAGCATCGAGTGGGGCGTCTACGTCTTCGACGCCGCCCTCATGACCCTCACCATGGCCTTCTTCCTCCTGTGGTACCCCAGTGCCCTCAAGAACGCCAAGCTCCGCAGCACCACCAGCCCCGAGCTCGGCGCTGCTGGCTTCCAGCATGAGCAGAAATAGGGGCGTAGTGCGTGTGGAGGCTGGCATAGAATTTCTTTTGTGTAAGTCCAAGCGAAACTTCGGCATCGGCATGCCATCTTTGGGTCGAGAACTTCATTGGCACGAGGCGTCGGGGCGGTCGTACAGTTTAGGGGGGCATCATATTTGATCAATACACTTTATGTCTTGTAATTGTCCTTTGCTGTTGTATGCAGTGGCAGATGTGGACTGCATTTGTCTTTTTCTAGCATTCGTTCTCGGCTACGCCTCCGCTTTGAGTTCTCCTCTGCCTATGAACATAATCTCTAGAGCAACAACCACAGGGCCAGGCTCTCTTGCCGTAAGCTGATGTTGTACTAGTGATGGCCCCTATTCACAAAACACAGCGATTGCGGCTGCTCATTGATTAATTGTAGATGAGCTTGACAACTAAAATGATCTAATTAGACGAACTACGAGCGATTGCTGAACATGGAATCCACCGAAAGTGAGTCGTCTCTTACATGATTGTTGCAGATGGGCGCCACCCCGCGGACGCCGCACTTTCTCGTCCCGCTTCCGAGAAGTCCACGATGGCGCTGTATCGCACATATCATCCATTGACTCTGGGGAACACACAGTCACGGGCGGGTATCGACTTATGTTTTGCGGCGGCATAACGACCATGAAGCCAGGCAATTCAACTTTCCGATACCCTGGCGTGCAGGGCCTCGATCCGTGCCACAGGAACGAATACAAATAACGCGCTTCCCCAGCCTGATGGAGCATGTGATGAGGCAGGCGGCACATCAGAACAAGGCTTATTGCAAGTCAAATACCATATTTCTACCTCAAGTCCTGTCATTATGGCCCGCTTATCAGCCTGGGTAACCCTCGCGGGCCTGCTCGCTCAGCAGACTGCGGCCTCCGTCGTCAGGAATGGCGTCGAACTCCCTGCTTGCGCGAACCATTTCTCGCCTTTCGAAGCTACCGGATGCTACCAAGACTATGATGGGAAAACCCTGGACTTCCGGTCAACCGTATCATCGAAGGGCATGACCGCCTACAAGTGCCAGGCCATCTGTAAAGGTACTATGACTGTTCCCGTACATGATATAGAACAGTGCTAAAGTGATCTAGGCAATGGCTATCAGTTCTCGGGACTCAAGTATTACGGCATCTGCTTTTGTGGATCGAAACTTGAGGGACCCAAGCTCCCAGAGTCAAACTGCACGCTTCCGTGCGACGGGGACCAGAAGGAGAGCTGTGGTGGTACCGACAGCTTAACCGTTTATCGGGATACGACGTTCCTGAAGCTCGGCGATGCTGTTGATGATGACGACTACGACGACACAGGCTGCTTCACCGACGACTCGGCTGTGGGCCGTACGCTCGGCTTCCGCGCGAACATCGATGCTGCCAAGGTGACGCCCGCAACTTGTATCAAGGCTTGCCTTGATCGCGGCCTTCCGTTTGCCGGTGTTGAGTTTGGTGGCGAATGTTGGTGTGGTGCTCTCGTCAGCCCCTTTGCCAAGGAGGTTAATGACACGGACTGCAACATGCCCTGCGGCGGCGACCAGTCTCTGGACTGCGGCGGCCGGAACCGAATCAATATCTTCCGGGCCTCCGAACTACTCTCCCAGGACCCATGCGAGAATGACAATGAAGCACCGCCGCGCAGTTCCTCTCCAACTCAGACCACCACCAAGCCCACGGACAAGCCCACGGACAAGCCCACAGACAAGTCGCCAGCGACTACCAGGACACCAACTCCGACGACTCCTGCGACAGGCACAGCGACAGGCACAGCGACAGGCACAGCGACAGCCACCAGCACCAAGATCTGCACCACAGTGGTCCCCAAGGATGAGTGGTGTGTCGGTAAATGGTGCAACGAGCCTCTCCCGGACTTCTTCAACGAGAAGACGTGCTTCGCATCCTGGGCCAAGTGCCACCTCCAGACACACGCATGCCTGAAGTTCGCCGGATGGCCGGCGGCCCTCGAGTGCGCCGACTACAAAAAGTGGTGCAAGGACGCCAAGCTCTTCTGCCGCAGGTCGTGCACCAGCAAGTCGAGAAACTGCTCCAAGGCCGGGCACCACGCCGAGAACCCCCCGCGCGGCGGCGACAACAAGGACCCCGTCACCAAGACGGTGCCCTGCGACGAGGCCACGGGCACCATGACCCCCGGCACCATCCCCGAGCCCACGAACCTCTGCGTGCAGCCCCACAACCCGGGCCGCGGGTACACGACCGAGGACCCCGTCGGCGACATTGACCTGCCCGTCGTCACCTGCAACAACAACGAGGCCGACCACAAGCGCGGTAACCCGTTCAAGCAGTATGACCACTCCAACTGGGGCCATTGTCCCTCGTACAAGCGCGGCGACGTGCCCAAGGCCTGCAAGGACGCCTGCAAGCAACAGTACGAGCGATGCCGTGGCGTCTACGCCAAGTCGCGCGACACCAAAAAGGACCGCAAGGACGATGATGATTATGACGATGACAAGAAGCACAAGCACAAGGGGAAGCACGAAGACAAGGAACACGGAGACAGGAAGCACGGCGGAAAAAAGGGGAAGAAGCACGAGAGGCGCTCTACTGGCGGCGGCGGCGGCGGCGAGTTGAGCGCTGGCACCATCGCTCACCCCAAGGATGAGTATCACACCGCTCTCCGTCAGTGCAAGGACCAGTACGAGGACTGCCGCAAGGTCAACGCCGATATCAAGGGGGATGATAAGTGCGCTCGCTTTGGCGGCCCATGGTAAATTGGTCCCTGCTAGAGGCGGGATAGCGGATGAGGGGAAAAGAGTTTTGCAACAGGAGCCCCGTTCCATGGGATATATAGGAAAATTCTGTTGGCTACTTGCGATGGTTGATTGACTTTTTAATTCCTCGAAGAGTTGATGTGCCCTTGAGAAGCTGCCTTTCCCCTTTCATGCCAGTGCCATGTCAGCGGGCATAAGGGTGAGACATCTCCCGCGCCCTGCAGTAAAGAAAGAAAGAGAAAGAGAAGAGAACTCGGAAGAGAAAAGGCGGAGAAAAAGAGAAGTCAAAAGAGAAGAGAAAGAGAAAGAAAGAAAGAAAGAGTGCGAGAAGCGGGCCAGCTTAAGTAAATGGTAACTCTGGAATGAAGCCAGGGATGCGTGCAAGGGGCTGGTTCGAGGGAGTTGCACTGCATACTATCCAAGGGAGAATGGAACAGCCTCGTTGCGGAATCGAGGGACAGTCTTGATGAGTCCCTGGTCTCGTGAAAGGCTATGGAAACTTGACTTTGCCCCACTCCCCTGCTTTCAGAGTAGTCAGTTTCTTCTAAATAACACCGGATCGACACTAGGACAATAGTCATTTGATACTTCAGTCACTTGTTCACATCTCTCGACGCCAATAGTTTTGAGCTTCTTTTTTCCTTTTCGTCATGCAATTCCTCATAACATCTCTGAATGCTCTCTCATGGCACCTCAGAATGAGACCAGCTACCGCGTTCCTCAGAAGGAACAACTCCTTCCGCTTCCCTGTGACTTCTTATTTTTTGCCCGTAGGGATGGCAAATAGTACAACCTTGCCGCCGTCAGCCAGACCCTTATCCACACGGAAGAAACCGCGGCGCTCGAGCTGAATGATGTCGTCCTTCTTCAGCTTAGCGACGCCCTCATCGCAAAGGGCCTGCTCCATGGTGGAGGTGACGGGGTTCAGGAAGTCCTCAAGCTTGTCGTCCTCCTCGAGCTTGTCCTTGGTGAGAAGGTAATCAAAGTCCCACAGTTCCGCCGGAACAAGCTTTGTGCCTTGGGCAGACAGCCAAGTAACCTTCTTCTCGGTCGTCTTGAAGTCACCCTTGAGGTTCAGCTCGGCCGTAATGGCGGTGACGGTATCGGTGCCAGTGATCTCGCGGATGATAATGTTGCCCCAGGACATGGCGGTGATCTCCTCGCCCTGCTTGAGTGTCTTGGCGTCTGCCTGGTCCAGGTAGAGCTCGTTGGAGAAGATGACGTTCTTGGTTCCGACCTCCTTGTTCTTGGGGTGGCTCGGGCGCTCCTCTGTCCTCGGCTCGGCGGGCACATCGGCGCCAGTCAGAGTAACCTTGACAAGGTCCTTCTCGATAAGAGCCGTATGCCTGGGCGCAATGGGGTCGATGACCTTCTTGTTCAGAGCCCAGAGGCTGGCCCAGTCCATGTTGACAACATTGCGGCTGGGGCCCTGCTTGATGATGAACTCGCGCAGGGCAGGAATGGTCAGACCACGGCGGCGGACGCCGCGGATGGTGGGGAAGCGAGGGTCGTCCCAGCCGTCGACGGTGCCGGCATTGACAAGAGAAGCAAGCTTGCGCTTGGACATGAGGGTCCTCACAAAGTTGATGCGCGAGAAATCCCACATGTAGACTTGACGGATCTTCAAGGTGTCGATGAACCACTGGTACAGAGGGTTGCGATCGGTATACTCTGTGGATCTCAGCGCATGGGTGACACCCTCCTTGGAGTCGACCAGAGGGCACGCGAGGTCGTAGGTGGGGTAAGCCTTCCACTTGTCGCCAGTTCGGTGGTGCTTGTGCTCAATGTTGCAACGGTAGATGACGGGGTCGCGCATGGCCTTGTTGGGGTTGTCCACAGAGACCTTGGCACGAATGCAGTTCTTGACACCCTCGGCCGAACCAAGCTTCATCTCCTCAAAGATGCGGAGGTTCTCCTCGATCGTTCGGTTCCGGCACTTGGACTCGATACCATCCATGCGCTGGGCCTTCATAGTCTCCTGGTCGGTGTCGTCGGAGTAGGCATGTCCCTCCGTGATCAGGCGCTTGCACATGTCGTGGAGGTAGTCAAAGTAGTCAGAAGTGTAGGTGAGAGTGTCGGGGGTGATGCCCATGAGGGCGAGATCCTCGACGATGGAGTCCTGGAACTCCTCGCTCTCTTTTGAAGGGTTCGTGTCATCGAGGCGCAGACGCAGTTGGCCCTTGTAAGCCTCGTGGGCGAAGTAGTCGCTAAGGAGGGCGGCCTTGGCGTGTCCGATGTGAAGGTAGCCCGAAGGCTCGGGGAGGAATCGCGTCACAACGCCCTGGTCGGCATTCTGGAGGGCGAGATCGAAGTTACCGCCAGCCTTGCTACCGGCAGCAATCTTGGCCTTCCTGGCAGCTTCGGCGGCCTTGGCTTCGGCCTGAATCTCGGGGTGGGCTTGGCTGATGTAGTTGAACCTGTCGATAGTGGAAGTATTAGTGACGTGCCGCATTGTCAAGGGGGGGTCTTATCCGGATGACGCTACCATCGTGTCAAGTTGACAAGGCTGCCTTTCTTGATGAAGCCAACACCCGCATTGTTGGACTTGAGAGTCTGCCAGATCTTGGTCTCAGTCTCGCCCAGCGTGTAGCCCTCCACATAGGTGCGCAGCGTCAGGTGCTTGTCAAGAGCGCGAAGGTGGGGCTCAAGAGACTTGAAATCGCCCGCCAGAGCGGCTGGCAGGGCCTGCACCTCCTCGGGCTTCATATTGAATCGTTGATATAGTACAATCGGATTCGATGACAGGGGTATCGCCGAAAGAGTCGTGGTGTCTCGTGAGTCGAACCGATGACTATGCCGAGTAAATGATATTTTGTGGCGGGGTTGAAAATTATGGAGGGGTAGGCCGGGCCATTGCTGGGTGAGGTAGCTACAGAGCACTGCGCTACCCCGCGCCCATCAGTCTCAGTAAACGCATATACTGTGGATCCGTATATCTTTGACTGATCATGTTCGTTCTTTTTCGAGAATCGCCTCACCACACACATGAAGACCCACAGATCCTCATGGACGCCTTCATTAGCTGTCATCAAGCCCATATCGTGCTTCCACCCATATCAAACGAGAGTGCAGAGGCAATAGCACGCGACTGACTTGCGTGCATTGCACATTAGACGTCGTTCCTTGACAAGCACACGCACAAACCCCTGGCAACACTGAGACAGAGTTCCGCTGAGGTGAAGTTTTGATTCAACTTGATAGACCACTGGCATGACACTGATTGCCTTAACGAGCCGCAAATTTTAATGCTTCCAGAAAGAGGGATGTCTCGATTCAAGCTACATCTAATTCGACGGACATTCTTCAATCGACTGAAAAAGAGAGACTAAAAGAATAAAAGCCACATACTGTATTTCTCTGATAGTCGGTAGCTCAATGTCTGGCATTCATTCGGTCTAGCGAGCGTCTTAGGCGCATGGCGTAATCCTTAGTGATGGGCGCGCTGAGACTTGGGACTAGACCCGGTAACAGAAGCATCTCCAGGCACCGACTTGGGCGGCGGATGGACAGATGGTTAGGTGAACCGAGATCCGAGTGGGACGGTTGAGGGCGACGAGCTCGCTGTGCAAGATATCTTCAAGTTCTTGGATGTCTGGCTGATATGTTACTCGCTTCTCTGAGATTAGTCCGAACGTCAAGGTAGTCTCGTGTAGTTACAAGGCTGGATCGCCCGGCAATCCCCGTACCTCTTTTTGTATCATTTCCATTTTTTTATTAGCAAAGAACAGTTTCCCTCGACTTTGACTCCGCGATCTTTAAGCCAAGTAGGAAGCCTCATTGATAAAATTTTGCAATGACGACCACATCTGCTTGATGTTCTACCCCATGACCATGCACAACGGTTGGCCTGGCCGAGTAGTCGGCAAAGCCCCAGACACCACGTCCACAGATCCAATTGTCCACGAACTATATGAGCGGCTTCTTTCGTTAATATTCAAGGTTTGGTAAAGCATCATATACAAGACGGCCGAGTTCTGGCCTTCATCGGAGCTTTCCATGTTTCACTTTCAATCATTGACCAAGTCGAACCTTGACGCTGCTGACTAAACAACCCCGGTCGCATTCCGATAAGATAAGAGCAGCTCGTCACGAACGCCTGAATGCTCAGGCGCTCACAATTTTCTTCGTCTCCTGTCGTGCATTGGCAATTGAGACTAGAGCTTGACGTCGAACTGCAAGGCTGGTCTCGTGTCCTCCATCTCCCAAGAGTCCGTCACCACCACGAGCCATGGCCACCTCCAACCAATGCCTTGCCTCGATGGCAAGGCTCTCGCTCTCCGCGGCGACAAGACCCCAGGCATCCGCGCTGCCGCGATTCCTCGCCCCAGCCGTAACGCAGACGCGATGCGCAAGCAAGAACGTTGCCAAAATCAGGGAGGCGGCGAAGAAGGACAAGAAGAAGAAGAAGCTTAGCAAGGACTACAAATCTTACGACCCGACCAAGTTTCCGCAATTCTCTCTCTGCGACGCCATGAGGTGAGACGCTCCTGACGTGGGCTCGTATCCCGATATACTAACAATTACGCTAGGTACCTCCGCGCCTACGAGGTCGGCCGCTCTCCCACTCACATCAAGTACGAGCTTTCCGTCCGCTTCAAGACGCCTCGCAATGGACCCTCCGTCAAGGGCCGCATCCGATTCCCCAATCCCGTCAAGACGGGCGACGTCCGCGTCGCCGTCATCTGCCCCGACGACAGCGAGGTCGCCGTGCAGGCACTGCAGGCCGGTGCCGTTCTCGCCGGCCAGGACGCCATTTTCGAAGCCATCCGGAACGACAAGATCAACTTCAACCGCCTGTTGTGCCACAGCTCGTCCGAGGCGGCGCTCATCAAGGCTGGGCTCGGCCGCATCCTCGGTCCCAAGGGTCTCATGCCGAACAGGCGCATGAGGACCATCACCGACAACGTTGTTTCGGCCATTCGCGATAACGCGGGTGCCGACACGTACCGCGAGAAGATGGGCGCGCTGAGGTTGGCGGTTGGACAGCTGGGGTTCACGCCAAAGATGCTGGCGGCAAACGTCAAGGCATTCATCGAGAGCATCAAGCAGGACGTTGAGAAGCTGGAGGGCACCCACAAGGAGGTCCAGGAGGTCGTCCTGAGCTCTTCGCACGGCCCTGGCTTCAACCTGAACGGCCTGTTTGATCCGACGGACGAGAAGGTGACCCCGGCACACCTGTCGCAGGTCATGTAAAAGGTGTTCCCCGTGTCAGGAGAGGCGCGAGGTGTATAATATGTCATCAATACGCGTGTATAAAACGATGTGGCATGGGGAGGCGGGATCTTCTAGAGTTGGGTATCATGTCTCTCAATTCGCTGTTAAAGACCATTCCTAGTTTCCCTTCAGAGCCTTGATTGCTTCTGCCTCGGCGTCCAGCAGCCCGTATAACCCGAGGTACTTGACAAGCCGTGACTTTCCCTTGTCCCCTGCCTTGCGCGATTCTTTCAGAGCAGCGTTGAGATCGAGTAGCAACGTGTTGCGACACCTCATCATGCGTGACTCGATTTTGGTGACAAAGGGCGTATTCCTGCCTGCAACGTCCGCCAACGCCTCAATGATGCAGCAATCATGCGCCAACGCCGACAGTTTGGACGGGCTGGTCCCTACAAGTCCCGTGTACACCTCGTCGTCCTCGGCGTCGGAATCCTCGCTCGACGCAACACTCCAAGCATCGTCGTCGTCGGCGTCGTGCGCCGGCGCCTTGCCCGGCATGCTCGCGACGGCCAGCTTCTCCTCCAGCGCAGACACCCTGTCGTCGAGCTCCAGCATTCGCCTGCCCGTCTCGATCTCTTTGCGCACGTCGCCGAGCTCTCCCGTCAGGCTCGCGGCCTCGTCTTTCCTCGTCCGCACGCGGCTCTTGATCTCCTCTATCTGCCGGCGGAAACCCAGCATGGCGACCTTGACGTCTTCGACCTTGTCGTCGCCGCCGCGCAGCTCGTCGCCGAGGGAGAGGAAGGCGGTGTAATTCGAGTTGACGAGCTCGAGGAGCTCGGCGCTGATGGCCGCGCTGCGCTCGCGAAGGTCACTCTTGAGATCGTCGAGGGTCTGGTGGCGATGAGGGAGGTTTGAGAGGTAGGACGCTGGGTCGAAATCGGCGGCGAGAAAGTCTGAACGCGGGAGCGCCTCGGGGAATGGGAGAGGGGCGTCGTCGTCTTCTGAGCCGCTGGAGGAGGAGGATGCCATGTGGAAGTCCGCGGTCGGGGACTTGATACCGAGGCCGGTCATGGTGTCAGTCCGTTCCGAAGGATAATATGCTTGGGAGTCGCTTCAATGGATCTGGGAGCGAATGCATTCGTCGGCCGAGGTCGCGATGAACGGCCTATTGAGCTTTCGGGTTGGAGCTTGGAGCTTGGAGCTTTCGAGAGACCACTTTGGTCTGGAACGGGAGGTGTGCATTGGCGAGGGGCACTTTTTTAGGCCACTGTGCACGCTATAATTGGCGTGCTGGAACCCAAGCCTGCGAGCAAGCGCTGGGGAGAAGTGGGGCCGCCCATCTGCCACCTACAATCGTCCTTGAGCAGATGCATACAGTCGCGGGAGTGGCTACGTCAAAACATGCAGCCAGTGTGGCTTGCAACCTTCGCTTGGTGACGGTTCGGCAGAGCTTAGATGCTTGGAGAGCTTCAAAGTGGATGTGCCAGCTCCGCATCCCAGCATGTGGGAAGAATGCTCCGGACATTCAGTCGCGTAACACCGCATGATACCTATTCGAGTCGATGTCACGAGAATCCTAGTGGTCCTGATTCCTGGATGAGCCTCGGCCGACCTCAAGGGGTAGCCCGCATCATTAGAATGACGTTCACAAGAGCGTTCCGTTTGGCCCTGTTGTAATGCTTGGTCGATACGCGTGGCGAAGTTGATTTACACGGTACACAGCAATCTGGCGGTGTCAGAGATGACCTGGCCTACCTGCAATACATGTGCATAGCTGGCTTGAGATACCAAGCAGACCTCTTAAGCCATACTTTTCGATTCACAAGCCTGCAAGGTGCTCTCATAGCGAAATGCAGACCACCTGAACGTCGTGTTCTTGGTGGAGTGTCTTCATGTTGTAGGTCTCGATAATGTTGGCATTCGCTGGGTCCAGCAACTATTATAACGACTCCTGGTAATTCTCTCTTTATCTGGATGTAAACTGGCGCGCTTGATAGCACGCATGCGTCCTTGGCACACGACGTTAAAGCCAGGTCGGCGGAGTATCTGCTATCTGCACTGCGACATGATCGTGTAAAATGAAGGAGCCGAATCAGCGGCAGTTGCACAACCATGGCTGATTCCAGGAGTGATGCAAAGAATAACCCTTTTCATATGGAGGGGTCTTGAGAGCTGTACAGTACGATGATATGATTTTCCCTTCGCATTTCTGTTCGCATTTCTGGGCAAGGTGATGCTGTCCTGCTCATAGCTTGAGCACAGAGTGAGCGATCTCAAACCATGCGTCTCTGGCAAAGTTAACAACGGAATGCAATACTCTCGTGCCTCTACTCCTTGCTAACAAGTGGCAGAAATCAACAGCCAGCTATGGCAAGCCCCGTTGGCAATGCTCCATGTGCGCCAATTGATATCCAAAATCCAGTGAGGTCATTTGGCGTGTCCCCGCGAAAGAAGGGGCCTTGCTGGGGATAAGGCAGCGAGATACGCCCGCGCCTGGGTAGAATCATTGAGGGTCAGCAAAGGCCAATCATTTGATCTGATATGTAACGCTGCGTCGTCCATGGCCCCCGGCCCCCTGTTTAATAAACGAGTGCTGTCATACTGCCATCATCAGGCCGTGTTGGACGAACGGCGGCAGCGCAGTGAGGTGGCGGAGGCACAGAGGACGCGTCAGAAGATCACCACTGATAAACGGAGCTTGCTCGACAGCGTAAATAGGGCAACGGAAGTGAGAAATCTGCCGCACGTGGAATCCGCGCCACCAGCGCGCGGCCAGGCCGTTTCCCTATGCCCCCCCCGAACTAGTACGGCCTTCCACTGTTGCGGTGAGAGTTTCGGCCTTCGTCCCGGCACGTGGACGTTCAGCTTTGCTTTGATACCGCCGAGCACAGGCTCGGAGTTCCACTTGCGCACGATGTGATGCTCAGGACGCTCTCGTTTTGTAATCACACCGATAGCAGGATTCAATTCAGTCTCACGGTTCCGCGGAGGGTTCCGCGCGAATTCGCAGCTTTCTGCGCTTGCAGGATATTGAGAGCACATGGCAAATACAATCCTGCCTTGGCCTTGATCCCCTACTTCGCGCTCGTCTTGGATGCGGCCCCCTCTGCAAGGGCAGGCACCGAGCCCCTGGGCCCTGATGAGGGGTCGAACAGTTGAACCTCGCAGCACCATTTGAATCCAGTGCCTACTCGCTGCAGGTGAACCGATTATGGAACGAGAACAGGCGGATCTCGAGGTTCTTGTTGGGACAGACTTCCCCAAACCATGCCGGGGCCTGTCCGATGTCGCTCAGTTTCGAGAGGGGCAGGAGCGAAAGGCTTCTCGGATGCCGAAAGCAAATGCATCGAACCATGATGAGACAGCACAAGAGGACCAACCGGGCGGGATGCCCTTGGGGGTGGAAAGGATGCAGAAGCGTGTGAAAGGTGTGAAAGGTGTGAAAGGGGGGGGGGAGGTGGGCGGGCCAATGCACCATGCACAAACCCTGGCGGATCCAGCATGGTGACACAGGAAAAATTATCTTATCAATCTAATCAAAATCTCCTCACGATCACAGGATATGATTGGTAGACCGCATCAGCCCTCGGCTCAGAGGCTCCCTAGGCTCCCCGGCCCCCACTCTTTGGCCAAGTCACTGAGGTTGTTACGGAAGTCACTCGGCGGTCTTCTCGTCTGGCTCCTCTCGTCCCACTCAACAGAGTCAAGTCCGCGCCAGGAGCCACCTTGCGCTAGGTGTTAGCAGTACAAAGGTGCCCATGCCAGTGCCAGTTGCATCGTCAACAGCGTACGACACCTTTTGACGAGTGATCCTTAGGCAGCGTAGTCGTGCCCCATCGCACCTGGAGTGCACTGGGGCACCACCACAACATTGGCTCCCCTTAGGACCGTTCGGAGCGCACCCTCTCCGCCTCCTCCTCCTCATCTCACGTACATGTTACATGCGTTCCTTCCTTCCTCATACGGCCAACTCAATGAGGAAGCAAAGATTCGTCATCCCGTGAGTAGGACGGACAGCCAATGGTAACCAGCTCAATTGGAAACACTGGCAGGTTTGGTCAGGGGAGAGCCAATTGCAATCAGCTCATTCCAGCTCTCCTCAGCAGTGTCCTCTTGACGAATTGCGGGGGTGTTCCAGACGGGAGATCCAATCAGTGGGCAGATCTGCTGCTTCGGCAGTCAGCAATGGAGATTCGCTAGCTGCATTTCCCCTATAATCCATTAGACAATTCCTGTCCATGTTTTCTCAGGAGCTGATCGACGGCCTCGAAGGCCAAAAATGAAGGATCTAACAGGCAAGAGAGCTTGATTCACTTATGTATTTCAAGCAAAAGAAGAGTTTCCCCCCAAACGGGCTCTGAACATATGACATCCACGGACCGACAGACATATCCGGGACGTCGATCACCCCCCCTCTACAGCATATATGCATGTATGCCCCAGCTCCGGCGTGAGAACGTAAACCAACACAGGCACACACACTAGCCAGGCGTATCCCGCTCAAACGTGCTCACCTCTTGTTACGACACGGACAACGCTTGACCAGATGGCCATAATTCCGACCATGAGGGTTCGAAAGAAAACAATATGTCTTCAACATCTCCCATCTCTTCTGCTTCTCGCGATTTTCTCACAATTTTGCATCCATCCCTCAATGATTCAACACACGCCTGCAATACTGCGAACCCCACCACCGCCGACAGTACCCGACCGAGTGCCCTGCCCCTCCCCTGCTGCCCCATCTGTCTGCCCCTGCTGGGTACCTCCGAGGTACTTAGAGCCCGCTCCGAGCTACCTCTGGACAACACTAGCTGCTGGGGTGCGATATCGCTGGGGACGAACAGCCCACCAATCCGGCAGAGAAAAGGCCTCGCTTCCCAGCGCCCGCGGCCCGTGATGGCTTTCGCACCGTCATCCATTCTCCCCTCTTCGACCTGGCCCTCGACCTCGTCCTCGTCTCTGGCATCAACCTCGACCTCTTCATCTCCCACTGGCAATCCAGGCAGCCACCCTCGAGCCTACTCATTCGCACATTTCTATCAGCAGCCGCATCACGACGATGCGCGACGCCTTTTGAATTCAACGACAACTCCGAGATCCCAGCACGGCTCAAGCTCGGCTTCCTCGAGTCCTGCATCCACATACTCATCGCCTTCCACCACAGCCTCTTCCTCGTCCACACCAGGAGCCGCCTCCTCATCGTCGGCATTCCACCTCTCTCTACCGCCGCCAACCCATCTGCTGCCACCCATTCGACCGGGTGCAGGTTACTTTCCCTACCTGCCGCCCACCCCGCCACCCCCAGCTTCTCATCATCCCGACCTCACCAAGATGTCCATGTCATCCGTCATCAGCCCCCAGTCGGAGTTGCCCAAGATGGCAGGCTCCATGACCTCGAAGGAATGGGTCATTCCCCCTCGCCCCAAGCCCGGCCGCAAGCCTGCCACGGACACCCCGCCCACAAAGCGCAAGGCGCAGAACCGAGCTGCACAGAGAGCCTTCCGCGAGCGCCGAGCCGCCCGCGTCGGCGAGCTCGAGGAGCAACTGGACGAGCTCAAGGAGGCCCACGACAAGAAGGAGGCCGAATCCAAGGAGCGTATTCATGAGCTGGAGATGGAGGTGCAGTCCTACAAGTCTCGCTGCGATGTGCTCGAGACCATGCTCGAGCGTGAGAGGCAGGACCGGGTCAAGGCCGAGACGGCGCTTGATGGCCAAAAGAGGAGGTGGGAGCGTCAGGCTGCTCTGGGGCAGTTCCAGCTGCCCACTCAGCGCGGTTCGCACAGCAGTGAAAATCAGCTGTCCCCCATCCACCAGACATCCATGGCATCGCAGATGCCCACGCCAGAGGACCCCTCCCCTATGGACACCACAGGAGTCGATCTGACGTGCGGTTCCTGCGGCCCCGAAGGTCGCTGCGCCTGTGCTGAAGATATTCTGAGGACAGTCGAGTCAGCCGACTCTCTGGACGATGCCATGAATGCAGGCTCCTCAGATCTCAAGCGAGCACCGCCTTCGCCGACCTTTGCCCCCGCCGACAAGCGTCAGCGTTCCAACTCCAACGCCGGTGACATGGCCACCGAAATCGACTTTACGTCCTTCTTCAAGAAGCAGCCTCAGATGCAGCAGCAGCAGCAGCAGCAGCAACTGTCCTCAAACCTCGTCAAGGATCCCTGTGGCTTCTGCAAAGATGGCGATTACTGCATCTGCGCTGACACAGCCCTCAACGCCGCCCCTACTTCCTACACGGCCCCCGCCCCCTTTTTCCAGCAGACTCAGACACCGCCACCCTCGGACAACGATGTCGGGCCCCCCATCCCAATGGAGATCAACTCAGACGGCGCCGTCAAGCTCCGCCCTCGCCCCCGCCCTGCTGCCGCTCCCATTGCCGCGCTCGCTCCCACCCGCGGCTGCGGCCCCAGCGGCCCCCGGCACCTGCGACCAGTGCATTGCCGATCCCATTTCGGGGCCTCTTCTGCCGCGCCCTTGTCGGCCAACATCAACAAGAAGGGCCAGAGCTCCCGGCGGCGGCGGGCTGCTGCGGCGGCGGCGGCCGTGACGGCGGCTGCTGCAAGACCGGCACCACCACGCCGCAGCTCCCCAAGCCCTCCGCCCTCAAGGCAGGCCTCGGCCTCAGCCTCAGCTGCGCCGAGGCGTACCAGACCCTCTCGAGCCATCGCAACTTCGACAAGGCCACCGACGACATTAGCTCGTGGCTGCCCAAGCTGCGTGCCGCGCCGCGCATCGGCGAGACGCTGCCCGAACCGACGGCCTCGCGGCTGCCGATCGAGGTCGAGGCCGCGAGCATCATGAGTGTGCTCAAGGACTTTGACATTCGCTTCGGCAGGGGCTTGTAAAAGCTGGCACGCGCCCCTCGGTGCTTGGTTTGGGGTTTCGGGTTTCATGTCTCTCTCTCTCTCCCCTTACTTCGGCGTACGCTGTAGATATGATATCCATGAACTAGGAGATTTGGAGGGAAAGGAGGAGGCGGTTTGGCAACAAATAAGAAAAAAACAAAGCAGAGCGGCGATCCGTCCGTCTACTGCTTGGTTTTTTTTTCCTGGCTGGCGTTCTGGCACTAGGTGTGCTCTCTGTGTCTCCCTATGGTTGGGACTTGGGCGTTACGGTTGAAGGTCGATTGTTGATTATCTGCATCTGCTGCACTGAAGCATTGGTCAGTTCCGCTCGTGTGGGTGGCCTCCATAGCCTGTGATTTTTAGTTTTACGTTAGGGAGGTCGATGGGCGCTTTTGCCTGCTGAAATACATGTTCCCTGTACTGAATGGCGCTGAGCTGGATCACTTGTGACATGTCTGTTCCCGGCATGCTCTCCTGAGCAAGGTACTTGAGCGCGACCAACCGTTGGTCACTTCCGCGAGCACCTCAACACACTTTATCATCACGAGAACATCCGAGCTACCCGATATTTGACCTAGCATCATACAACAGTCTCAAACCTGGGGGAAATAGGCACAGTATCGCGTGAACAAAGCCTCGCGAGGACACGTGCATATAGCAGGCAGCTACGCCAAGGTAGCCATGGGTTTCCTTCGCAAGCTACACGGACCAATCCACGCTCTTCAGAACAGCATCGAGCCTATCAGTTTGTCAGTCGTGACCGTAGAAACACGCCGAAACAATATCAAAATACCTCTTCAAGCCTTCGGTGATGACCGGCCGCTGTTGCGTGTAAACGAGACGAAACTTCCCAGCCTCAAGAGCATGCTCCTCCCCCGGATGCAAGAAAACCCCACCTTCAACCAGTTTCTCAGCCAGCGCAAACTCTCTCTGCTGCGTAGTATCATATACTTTGCCTTCAGGTGGCAGCCAGGGCGCCAGGTCGATCAGGACAAAGTACCCAGCATTGGCCTCGAGATACGATATTCCAATCTCACTCAACCTGCCCGTGACAAACTTGTATGCGTCGCCGATGCGTGCTCGTGCATTCAGTATGAAGGCGCGACACCACTCTCGGTCCTCGAACATAGCCGTGCCGATGGCGACGGACATGCCCGAAGGTTCGTGAAACCGGCCGACAGCCTGGACGGAGCGCTGCAGCTCGCGATTCTTGGTGATGAGCGCCCCCAGACGCAGTCCCGCGGCTGCAAAGTCCTTGCTCGTGCCGTACTCGACGTGAACCAGGTTCGGGTCGATGAGATTCGTAAGGTTGATAGACAGCACCGATGTGAAGGGGTGCAAGCCACGGCTTGAGCCCGTTCCGGGGCCAAAGACTGAGAGACCGTATACCTCATCACTGATGAGATGGAGCCGGTGCCTCTGACAGAACTCGAGCAATCCCACCAACGTCTCGCGGGGGTAGCAACGACCCAGGGGGTTACTTGGATTCACAACTAGCACCGCCTTCACATTGATACCGCCAACCTTGGCCTTCTGCAAGGCCTCTTCACAAAGAACAACGACAGAAGGTTCAAGCGCTTCTGCAGAGGCGCAGTCGGCATAAGCCACTTTGACGCCCATGGCGTTGCCCAGGTCTAGTTCGAAACGACCATACACAGGGCGCGGAGCAAGGATGGCATCGCCCTGCTCGGCTAGGGAAAAGGCGAGGACGGAATGGAGAGAAGTAGCACCATTGACAATCTGTATATCCGAGGGCAAGACTGGGGAGAATGGGTTGAATGTCTCGTTGACGTGTGTTGCGAGAGCAGCAGCGAGGCGGGGTCCGCCAAAGCTGCTGTAGCCATATGTGAAGGAAGCAGGCGGAAACTCTACCTAAACGATGTTAGGTCGGTGAAAACCCGCCTTTGATAATACGATTACCTTCGAAGAAAACTCGACGAGATCATCGTACATCAAGGGGTTCTCAGCCTTTGCGAGAGAGATGATACCTCCGGGATTGGATTCGGCATCGAACAGATCCCTGGCGGCTGGGGTAAATCGCCAGGGGATGTCCAGTTGCGCCAATGTTGTGGCGGCCCGAGTTGATAACATTGTTTTCACGTCCAGTCCCTGGCTGCACAGGGAGAGTGAAACTCTTTTGAATGATGACGCAGAATGTGCTCGAGGTTTGAGAAACAGGCCAAAGAGGTAGCTGGCACGCGATTATGTGCTCACAAACCAGCTCACTGACGACGAAGCGGGGCAGAGTGTCAACCAGCATTTCATCAGCACTGTAAAGCCTCCTAGGAACAGAGCCAGCTATCCTGTGAGCACGCAGAGTTGAGCAGCGATCCACATCTTCTCGAGAGACGAGACGAACACGCGCGATGACAGGACCATCGCTGGATTATAAATGCGTTGGCAGAGCACTAGCTCTAGAAGATGTTAATACGGACGTCGAATGAGCGCCTAGTGACAAAGCACGACTATACCTGGACAAGAACTGTTACCCTAACGCTTGTCATCACTCCTGACAACTGTTCGGGTTAGTGACTGTCACAACTGCATCCTTCTAGCGGCCGCTACGAAGTAAGCTCATGCCTGTCGAGATCTCAGGCAGGGCATACTGGGTGACAGATATGCAGCCCCATCCCGAGATCTTACGGGCATGGTACAGGCATCGAACATTGTTACCGCAGCCGATACTCTGCGTTCGTGCAATATGTGCGCCAGTACAATGGGTCAGATGATACACAAGGCGCGTTGATGGTGTCTGGCGGCATGTCTTGGTAGAAGCGCAGTCATCCTAGGCGCCTTTGATGGAAAACATGCGCGACATGAAGATCGCTATTCAAGAATAGAAGGCAGGATGAAGTCTGTGAAGCCAGCCCACGCCTGTCAATGCCATGCCACCTGGAGCTGCTCTCAAGTAATCAACATTCCGCTGGGCGAGTAATCCGATTCAGGCGATGCCAGTAACAAGGAGCGCTGGGTTCAAGACTCGACACAGGAACAGCATGTGACCCATCGTTTCCCCGTTGGCCATTGATAAGGAGATGAGCGGGAGGGTACGTTAGGGACGAGCATGGGTGAGCGGTCCGCCCAGTCTGACGTGCATAGCACGATTCGCTGGAAGATGGAAGGTTCGTAGATCACGAAGATTCCCTCAATGGATGGGACGAAAATGGAGCGGGTGAGCCAGGTGAAAGGGTGGTCGAGGGTGACGGACGAGGATAACCAAGCGTCGTGAATGACATTGTGTGCTGGCTGAGCCATGCCTCAATCAAAAAGTCGGCCTGCCGCAGACCAAAGAGTGTTGCGGGACATGGTCTGTCCGAGGAAGAACGTCGAGGAGAGACACACTTGGAAGCATGAAGCCCAGCGTTATTGGCGGGTCCCCGTCTGATGGCGCAGGCAGGTTGATACTGGTTGGGCGGCAGGGATGGGTGGGCTGGGTCGCGGAGAGTTGAAGGGTGTGTTGGCATGGTGGCCAGCCTCGTGGACGACGCAGATTGGCTGAGTGGTCGAGGGGTGCGGTCGGAACGGGACAGATGGAGGTCAGTGGTCGCAGGGTAGAGGTTGAGGGGCAGACGACGGAGACGGTCATGCCATGCGATGCAGTGCCAGCTCAGGGAGGCAGAAGCAGAAACGAGACACCAGGTGCTCCTGTTTCCAAGACGGGGTTGGCAGGAGGAACGCCTGGGCGGGTCGAGGGAATGGCGAAGCGAGCCCGCTGTGTGCTGTCGCTGCATCTCATCGTGTTTGTCTTGGGAAAAGCACAGATGAGACGTTGACAGATTGTGACCGACCACCGAGTTGTCGTAGTGAGCATCGGAATCACCAGCACACCAAACCAAGTGGCAAGAGGCGCGTGCTGTACAGATCGATAGACTGACGTGTGAAGGTGTCTAGAGTGCATCAAGTCAGCTGAATGTGTCGCCGTCGGCGTCCTCGAGTAGTTACATGTCTTTGCCACAGACAAGACACGACACATGGAAGTTGGGAAGACTGCGAGGGCACCGAGGATAATGGGCGGCACGACATGAGATCTGTCCGTGGGTTCGGTCGGTGATGAGCAGGCCGTTGGATGACAAGAACTCCCTCTGTCCATGTTGGGGAGGGTGTTCGGCTGTTGAGTGGAATGGACGGGAGGGGCAGGCAAGGGCGGGGCGTTCCCGCCCGATGCCAGTGCCAGCAAAGGGTCGCTAGGATCGAAGTTAGCGCCCACGACACACCCCTGTTCAGGGCAGGTTCTGCCCAATGCCCAATGCCAGTGCTTCCTTCCCACCACAATCCCCCTGCTGTCCACGTCTCCAGCCACTGCAGGTTCTAACCTAGAAGCCGGCTGCTACCTACCTGGTAGCTACCCAGCTTGATGCTTGGTGGATGCATGCTGCTGGCTGCTGGCTACTGGCTGCCTACCTTGTCCACTCACTGCCTGCTCGCTGCTCGCTGCTCGCTGCGTGCTGCTTGTCAGGAAAGGCGAGGCACGAGGGACCAATAGCCTGGCATTGCGCCTGCCAGGACGGATGACCGACAGTCCAAAGCCGGCCTGACCTGGTCCGGGACGCACTGGCCTGTGAAGCTGTTGAGCCATGGCGGCGGCGATGGCAGCCGCGATGGACCTTACGGACCTGGTGCTGCCCCTGTTGTCCCTGCTGCCAGCCATCCCATCTCGGGTCAAGGTGGATCATGAACATTCACGACCTTCTCCAGCTTCCAGTTTCCAGCTTCCAGCTTCCAGGTCCTCATCTGTCCCCCCCCCTTCGTCTTTCCAACTTCGAAAACACCATTTACCTCGTTCACCGTGCCCTCCGATGACTCGTCTTCAGTGTGTCGCCAGCTGACCGTCGCCAACCCTCTCCTTCCTTACCTCCCTCTCCCCTTTCTCCTCCCCCGCCATTCGACTCGCTTACCCTCCCCCGCCTCAACCCCGATCACACGATCGCGACGTCGCCCGCACAAGATCGTCCCACCAACCTGACACTGTTGCCCAAATACTCCGTCCTGCCCAGAGTCTGCCACTCTGACGAGACGCTCAAAGTCGTGGCCTGGGACGATCCGACTGAAACCATATTCCGTTGCATTTAGTCGTTGCTTCAGCGTCTTCGTTGCGGTCCACCACCTCCATGGGCGCATAATGATTTCCATGCAACGCTCCCTCTCGTCGCCCGTTCGCATACATTCTTCCTCAGCTCGTATGTCCAGGCAGTCAAACTAGTGGGCGGGACAACTACTGTTGTCACCAACACTCTTCTCACTGCTACCCTCCGCGCCGTCCATCTACCTTTACCACTGCTAACCTGCGCCATTCGTTCCTGCAGCCCTCTCTCCCGACGACGAGAAGCTCCCCACAAGCGCGAACTCGAGATCGCCGACGCCCTCGCTCGACGACCATGCCTCTTTCTCCCAGCGCATGCGACGCCCCTGCTCGCCGACCCCCCCGCCAGTCTCCAACATCAACGTTTCGCTGCCTTTGCGCCGCAGTGACGACGCACCAAGGCGGCCTCTCTCACAGCAGTATGGTGCGGCAGCCAGCGCTAGGAAGCCAGTGATTGCTCAACCCGTGACGCCCTCTTCCACATCACCCGCCAAAGACGCTGCTCCTCAGACGCCCCCGTCTGTTTCTTCTGACACCGGCGCTGCTCCTCTTGCTCCGAGTCTTCTTCCAGATTTGTCTCAGTACTCGAGTCCGTTCCAGCCACATGACAGTTCCGATGGCACTACTTTGGAGGAACTTGCCCACCTGGTTCGACTGTCCAAGTACCAGGAGCGCAAGCGCGCCAACACTAGGATACGTTTGCAAAGGAACTTGATATCGACTGCCCTGTCTGCTCGACTGACTCGGTGTGGTGAGATTGCCCGCAGGAACCTAGCAGATTGTTTCCGCAAGGACGACAAGAAAACCTTTGGACCCCTTTTCAACGCCATTCACGATGTCCGAAAAAGTTGCGATGGCCTCCGCCAGTACGCTCTTCTGGAACCCGAAATGGACACCTTGTCCGATAATTTGGAGGCTTCCTCGAGCACACCTGTCTCTGCTGGTCCCTTGGCTGCTGTTGCACCATTTCTCCACGAAATACCAGCCTCTGCAAGGGAGACGTTTCTTAACTTTCTGAACCAAATACGGACCAATCCGGATTATCTAGCTACTAGGCTTTGCACCTTGACCACCGCTGAACTGAATGCCCTTACCAGCTTCCATCAGGTACTGGAACCTATCGAGTCTGTCCTCCCTTTCCATGGTCGACCAGCCCCGCGAACCCACGCATCCGGCACCTCGAGTCGATATTCGACGCAGCAGAACACCGCCATCGAGCGCCTACTCTCCTTTCAACGGCATGACCCTCTGTCGGCTCTCATACATACCTGCTTTGCGAACTCGGCTGGGCCAGACAGCGCAGAGGACCGGAGACGAACTGATATCTGGGCAACCGCCATGGCCAAGCTGATTACGGATTCCAGGGCGAACAAAGTCCAAAGCGAGCATATGCTTATTTCTGTCATGAATGTCTGGACGACCATGCGTGACTGGGCCGGAAAATCCAATATGGAATGGTATCTCATGAAAATCTTGGAAGACGGCGCTTTCCTTCTGGACCGTGCCGAGGACCAGCACGGGACTCGCTTCAACCTTTCGGATTGGACCCCCAAGGATAGCATAGCTGCTGATGAGTTCTATGATCGAGCTGTCAATGAGCTCTTTGACATTGTGGACGATGAGGATGCGACAGGCATACCTGAGGGTCTCCTCGAACTCGGCAATGCGATCCTGCGGCGAATTGACAGCAAACTCGTCGACAGTACTAGAAATTGGTTCGTTTGGAAGTGGCTTTTTTCCTCTTTTCTCCTGCATGTCATCATTCACCCGGAAAGCTTTGGTATGATGGCCGACTACCACATCACAGAATACGGCCGCCAAACCATCCTGAAGAAGGTTGCACTGAAAGCACAGGAACTAGTGGTGAACATGACGTGCTACAAGAAAGGCACCATGTCAGTCCCAGCTAAGGTTCAAGGCCATGTCGACAACATTTTGAGCCGGTTCAGAGGGGCACGGCCGCAGCGGCAGATGGCCAAGCTGTTACCTGCGCGATCCATTACATCGCTCA